CTTTTTTTCTGAGCACTAGATCTCAACAGTGGACTTTAAATAAACAAGCCATGCTGTAAACTGATGTGCTATCATCCAGGCTTTGTTGTTCCATTTAGAGAGCACAGTAGAGTAGATTTATCATCATTCTTAAGCACTTTAGGATTTTCAGAATAGTCAATTAGCATTGGCTTCAACTTGATGTCACCAGCTGCATTATTCCCCTAACAAGAGAGTTGGCCTATCCTTTGAGGCTTTGAAGCCAGGCACTGACTTCTCCCTAGCTAACAAAGTGCTAGATAGCATCTTCTTCCACTAGAAGACTGTTTTGTCTGCTTTGAAACTCTGTTGTTTAGTGTATGTAGCCATCTTCATCAATGATCTTAGCTAAATCTTCTGGACAACTTCTGGCAGCTTCTACAAAAGCACTTGCTGCTTCTCCTTGCACTTTTATGTCATAAACAAGGCTTCTTTCCTTTAACCTCGTAAGCCAACCTCTGCTAACTTCAAACTTTTCTTCTGCAGCTTCCTTACCTCTCTCAGTCTTCACAGAATTGAATAGACTTAAGCCCCTGCTCTGGATTAGGCTTTGACTTAAGGGAATGCTGTGGCTGATTTCATTTTTTATCCAGACCACTAAAACTTTCTCCATATTAGCAATAAGGTAGCTTCACTTTCTTATCATTCATCTGTTCATTAGACTAGTACTTTTAATTTTCATCTAAGAACTTTTCCTTTGCATTCACAACTTGACTGTTTGGCATAAGCGGCCTAGCTTTCAGCCTATCTCAGCCTTTAACATGCCTTTCTCACCAAGCTTAATTATTTCCAGCTTTCGATTTCAAGTGAGAGATGTACAACTCTTCCTTTTCCTTGAACACTGAGAGGCCATTGTAGGGTTATTAATTGGTCTAATTTCAATATTATTGTGTCTCAGGGAATAGAGAGGCACAAGGAAAGTCAGAGAAACAGCCAGTTGGTGGAGTAGTCAGAACACACACATTTATTAAGTTCACCATATTATATGGGAATGGTTTGTGGTACCCCCAAACAATTGCAATAATAACATCAAAGATCACTGATCACAGATCACCACAGCAGACATAATAATAATGAAAAAGTTTGAAATATTGAGAGAATTATCAAAATGTGATACAGAGACAAAGGTGAGTACATGCTGTTGGAGAAATGATAGCGACAGACTTGCTAGATGCTGAGGTGCCTCAATCCTTCACCATATTCGCAACATTTATGAAATTAATAAAATAAAGTATGTGTATAAAAATGATTTCTTAAGCTAGTTCTTTAGAAGCAGAAACTTTGGAAAGTCTTTTTAGACAAAAGCTATTAATAAAAAATTCAGAACAAGAGGAATATTTGGACATATTTTTCAAAGTTAAAAGCAATAACATAAAAATTTATTCTAATGGATTGGGTGAAGGGAAAATTAGATTGAATGGATAATTGTAGAAAATTTCCCAGAAAGGCTTAAACTACAAGCTTTGAGTTTAAAAATATATAGGAAGTCTCAACTAGGCAATAGTGAAAAAATGTATTGAAAGCATACCAATATCTACCCTCTCTGAAAAATGTACACACCCATTTTACTAGTCAGTTTTGCTAAATTTAGAAAGAACAGATAACTCCTTGTCATTTAAATTTGTTCAGAGCACAGAAATAAAGATGCAAAGCTTCCAAAAAATTGTGTCAAAATTATTTACAAAAAAAAAAAAAAAAAAACATAAAGTCCACTTACTCATTGAGATTTTTTTAATAATGATAAATAAATCTGGCAAATCAGACTAGCATTAGAGCATGTTAGAGTTTATCACAAGAAAGAAGTTAGGTAGTAAGATGTCTATTAACATAATTCAATTCGTTAACAGATTGGCTTTAAAATATGACAATCAGGGAGACTGCTGGCAAGATGGCCAAATAGAAACAGCTCTAGTGTGCAGCTCCCAGTGAGAGCTACACAGAAGGTGGGTGATCTCCACATTTCCAACTGGAGTACCTAGTTCATCTCATTGGGACTAGCTAGACAGTGAGTGAAGCCCAAGAGGGCAAGCCAAAGCAGGGTGGGGCGTTGCCTCTAGGAAGTGCAAGGGGCCAGGGAACACCATTTTCTGGCCAAGGGAAGCCATTAGGGACTTTTCCCAGCACTCTGGCACTCTGGTCCAGATACTGTACTTTTTCCATGGCCTTCACAGAGATTTCCTCTGGTGCCTACAACACTAGTACCCTGGGTTTCCAGCACAAAATTGGGCGGCCATTTGAGAAGACACTGAGCTAGCCACAGCAGGCTTTTTTTGTCTCTTTATTTTTTTTTTTTTGTATACCCCAGTGGCACTTGTAACACCAGTGAGACAAAACTGTTCAGTCCCCTGAAAAAGGGGGCTGAAGCCAGAGAGCCAAATGATCTGTCTCAGTGGGTCCCATACCCATGAAGACCAGCAGGCTAAGATCCACTAGCTTGAAATTCTACCAGAAAGTACAGCAGTCTGAATTCAACCTGGGACATTTGATCTCAGTGGGGGTGCAGGTATCCACCATGGCTGAGGCTCAAGTAGGAGGTTTTAACCACACCTGTGTAAACAACGTCACTGGGAAGCTTACACAGCAACTGGGCAGAGCCCACATAGTTCAGCAAGGCCTCTGGAGGCAGACTGTGTCACTAGACTCCTTCCTTGCTGGGAAAGGAAGGAGTCTAGTGACATCTCTGAAAAAGAAGCAGCAGTGCATCAGCGACTTATAAATAAAGCCCCCACCTCCCTGGGACAGAGCACCTTGGAAAAGGGGCAGTTGTGGATACAGCTTCAAAAGACTTAAACATCCGTGTCTGGTAGCTCTGAAGAGAGCAGCAGATATCCTAGCACAGCATTCAATCTCTGATAAGGAACAAACTGCCTCCTCAAGTGGCTCCCTGACCCCGGTGTATCCTGACTGGAGGACACCTCCCAGCAGAGGCTGACAGACACCTAATATAGAAGATCTCTGGCTGGCATCTGGTGGGTGCCCTTCAGGGATGAAGCTACCAGAGGAAGGAACAGGCAGCAATCTTTGCTGTTCTGCAGGTGATTTCCAGGCAAGCAGGTTCTTGAGTGGACCTCCAGAAACTCCAGCAGACTTGCAGCAGAGAGGCCTGTCTGTTAGAAGGGAAACTAACAAACGTAAAGAAATAGTTTCAATATCAACAGAAAGGACATCCACTCAGAGACCCCATCCAAAGGTCTCCAACTTCAAAGACCAAAGGTAGATAAATTCACAAAGATAAGAAGAAAACAGCATAAAATAGATGAAAATTCCAAAACCCTGAATGCCTCTTCACCTCCACAGGATCACAACTTCTCACCAGCAAGAAAATGAAACTGGACAAAGAATGAGTTTGATGAATTGACAGAAACAGGCTTCAGGAGGTGGATAATAAATAAAACTCTCCAAGCTACATGAGCATGTTCTAACCCAATGCAAGGAAGTTAAGAACATTGAAAAAAGGTTAGACAAATTGCTAACTAGAATAACCAGTGTAGAGAAGAACATAAATGATCTGATGGAACTGAAAAACATAGCACAAAAAATTCGTGACGCATACACAAGTTTCAATAGCCAAATCAATCAAGTAGAATAAAGGATATCAGAAATTGAAGATCAACTCAATGAAATAAAGCAAGAAGAAAAGATTAGAGAATAAAGAGTGAAAAGAAGTGAACAAGGACTCTAAGAAATATGGGATTATATTAAAAGACCCTATCTACATTTGATCAGTGTATCTGAAAGTGATGGGGAGAATGAAACCAAGTTGGGAAACACTCTTCAGGATATTAACCAGGAGAGCTTACCCAACCTAGCAAGGCAGGCCAACATTCAAATTCAGGAAATACAGAGAACACCACAAAGATACTGCTTGAGAAGAGCAACGCCAAGACATAATTGGCAGATTCACCAGGGTTAAAATAATGGAAAAAATGATAAGGGCAGTTACAGAGAAATGTCAGGTTACCCAAAGAGGGAAGCCCATCAGGCACAGTGGATCTCTCAGCAGAAACCCTACAAGCTGGAAGAGAGTGGGGGCAATATTCAACATTCTTAAAGAAAATAATTTTCAACCTAGAATTTAATATCCAGACAAACTAAGCTTTATAAGTGAAGGAGAAATAAAATCCTTTATGGACAAGCAATTGCTGACAGAATTTATCACCACTAGACCTGCATTACAAGAGCCCCTGAAGGAAGCACTAAACAAAGAAAGGAACAACCAGTACTAGCCACTGCAAAAAAGAACCAAATCAAATGGTAAAGGTCAATGAGGCAATTACAAAACTGTGCCAAACAAAGGGCAAAACATCCAACCAGTAACAAAACGGCAGGATAAAATTTACACATAACAATATTAATGTTAAATGTAAACGGAATAAATGCCCCAATCAAAAGACACAAACTGGCAAACTGGATAAAAAGTCAAGACCCATCAGTCTGCTATATTCAGGAGATCCATCTCACGTGTAAAGACACATATAGGCTCAAAACAAAGGGATGGAGAAAGACTGACCAAGCAACTGGAAAGCAAAAAAAAAGCAATGGTTATAATCCCAGTCTCTGCTAAAACAGACTTTAAACCAACAAAGATCAAAAGAGACAAAGAAGGGCATTACGTAATGATAAAGGGATCAAGGCAACAAGAAGAGCTAACTATTCTAAAATTATATTCACCCAATGTATCACACACAGATGCATAAAGCAAGTTCTTAACGATATACAAAGAGACTTAGAATTCCACACAATAATAGTGGGAGCCTTTAACACCCCACTGTCAATATTAGATCAATGAGACAGAAAATAACAAGGGTATCCAGGACTTGAACTCAGATCTGAACCAAGCAGATCTAATAGACATCTATAGAACTTTTCACCACAAATCCACAGAATATACATTCTTCTTAGCACCACATCACATGTATTCTAAAATTGATCCCATAATTGGAAATAAAACACTCCTCAGCAAATGGAAAAGAATGGAAATCATATCAAACAGTATCTCAGACCACAGTGCAATCAAATTAGAACTCAGGATTAAGAAACTCACTCAAAACCACACAACTACATGGAACCTGAACAACTTGCTCCGGAATGACTACTGGATAAATAATGAAATGAAGGCAGAAATAAATATATTATTTGAAACCAATGAGAACAAAGACACAATGTACCAGAATCTCTGGGACACATCTGAAGTAATGTATAGAGGGAAACTTATAGAACTAAATGCCCACAAGAGAAATGAGAAAAGATCTAAAATCAATACCCTGATGTCACAATTAAAAGAACTAGAGGAGCAAGATTAAACAAATTCAAAAGCTAGCAGAAGACAAGAAATAACTCAGATCAGAGAAGAACTGAAGGAGATAGAGAAACAAAAAATCCCTTGAAAAAAATCAGTGAACCCAGGAGCTGGTTTTTTGAAAAGATCAACAAAATAGATAGAGTGCTAGCCAGACTAATAAAGAAGAAAAGAGAGAATAATCAAATAGATGCAATAAAAAACGATAAAGGGTATATCATCACCAATCCTAGAGAAATACAAACTACCAACAGAGAATACTATAAACACCTCTATGCAAATAAACCAGTAAATCTAGAAGAAATGGATCCATTCCTGGAAACTTACAACCTTCCAAGACTAAACCAGGAAGACATTGAATCCCTGAATAGACCAATAACGAGGTCTGAAATTGAGGCAGCATTTAATAGCCTACCAACCAAAAAAAGTCCAGAACCAGACGGATTCACAGCCAATGTCTACCAGATGTACAAAGAGGAGTTGGTACCATTCCTTCTGATATTATTTGAACAATACAAAAAGAGGGAAACCTCCCTAACTCATTTTATGAGACCAACATCATCCTGATACCGAAACCTGGCAGACACACAATTAAAAAAGAAAATTTCAGGCCAATATCCATGATGAATGTCGATGCAAAAATCCTCAATAAAATACTGGCAAAATGAACCTAATAGCACATCAAAAACTTATCCATCACGATCAAGTCAGCTTCATCCCTGGAATGGAAGGCTGGTTCAACATATGCAAATCAATAAATGTAATCCATCCCATAAACAGAACCAATGACAAAAACCACATGATTATGTCAATAGATGCAGAGAAAGCCTTCAACAAAATTCAACAGCCCTTTATGCTAAAAACTCTCAATTAACTAGGTATTGATGAAATGTATCTCAAAATAATGAGAGTTATTTATGACAAACCCACAGCCAATGTCATATTGAAGGGGCAAAAGCTGGAAGCATTCCCTTTGAAAACCAGCACAAGACAAGGATGCCCTCTCACATCACTGCTATTCAACGTAGTACTGGAAGTTCTGGCAAGGGCAATCAGGCAAGAAAATGAAATAAAGAGTATTCAATTAGGAAAAGAGGAAGTCAAATTGTCTCTATTTGCAGACAATATGATTGTATATTTAGGAGACCCCATCATCTCAGCCCAGAATCTCAAGCTGATAAACAACTTCAGCAAAGTCTCAGGATACCAAATCAATGTGCAGAAATCACACACATTCCTATACAGCAATAACAAACAAACAGGGAGCCAAATCATGAGTGAACTCCCATTCACAATTGCAAAAAGAGAATAAAATACCTAGGAATACAACTAACAAGGGATGTGAAGGACCTCTTCAAGGAGAACTACAAACCACTGATCAAGGAAATAAGAGAAAACACAAACAGATGAAAAAACATTCCATGCTCATGGTTAGGAAGAATCAATATCATGAAAATGGTCATACTATCCAAAGTAATTTATAGAGACAATGCTAACCCTATCAAGCTAACACTGACTTTCTTCACAGAATTAGAAAAAAAAAAGAAAAACCACCTTAAATTTCATGTGGAACCAAAAAAGAGCCCACATAGCCAAGACAATCTTAAGGAAAAAACAACAACAACAACAACAACAACAAAACCAAAGCTGAAGGCATCATGCTACCTAACTTCAAAGTATACTACAAGGTGTATACTGCAAGGCTACAGTAATAAAATCAAAACAGCATGTTACTGGTACCAAAACAGAGACATAGACGAATGCAACACAACAGAGGCCTCAGAAGAAATGTGACACATCTACAACAATCTGATCTTTGACAAACCAGACAAAAGCAATGGGGAAAGGATTCCCTGTTTAATAAATGGTGATGGGTAAACTGGCTAGCCTTCTGCAGAAAGCTGAAACTGGATCCCTTCCTTATGCCCTATACAAAAATTAACTCCAGATGGATTAAAGATTTACATACAAGACCTAACACCATAAACTAGAAGAAAACCTAGGCAGTACCATTTGGGACATAGGTATGGGCAAGGATTTCATGACTAAAACACCAAAAGCAATGGCAACAAAAGCCAAAATAGACAAATGGGATCTAATTAAAGAGCTTTTGCACAGCAAAAGAAACTATCATTAGCATGAACCAGCAACCAACAGCATGGGAAAAAACTTTTGCAATTTTCCCATCTGACAAAGGAATGATATCCAGAATCTACAAAGAACTTAAACAAATTTACAAGAAAAAAATAAACAACCCCATCAAAAAATGTGCAAAGAAGTTGAAAAGACACTTCTCAAAGGAAGATATTTATATAGCCAACAAACATATGAAAAAAAGCTCATCATCACCGGTCATTAGAGAAATGCAAATCAAAACCACACTGAGATACCATCTCTCACCAATTAGATTGGCAATCTTTAAAAAATAAGAAGACAACAGTTACTGGAGAGGATGTGGAAAAATAGGAATGCTTTTACACTGTTGGTGGGAGTGTAAATTAGTTCAACCATTATGGAAGACAGTGTGGCAATTCCTCAGGGATCTAGAACTAGAAATACCATTTGACCCAGCAATCCCTTTACTGGGTATATACCCAAAGGATTATAAATCCTTCTATTATAAAGACACATGCACACGTATGTTTATTGTAACACTGTTCATAATAGCAAAGACTTGGAACCAACCCAAATGCCTATCAGTAATAAACTGGATAAAGAAAATGTGACATATACACACCATAGAATACTATGCAGCCATAAAAAAAGGATGAGTTCATGTGTTTTGCAGGGACATGGATCAATCTGGAAACCATCATTCTTAGCAAACTAACACAAGAACAGAAAACCGAACACCCACATGTTCTCACTCACAAGTGGGTGTCGAACAATGAGAACACATGGACACAGGGAGGGGAACATCACACACTTGGGTCTGTTGGGGTTGGGGTGCTAGAGGAGGGATAGCAGGGAGGTAGGGGGCTAAGGGAGGTATAGCATTAGGAGAAATACCTAATGTAGATGACAGGATGATGGATGCAGCAAACCACCATGGCACGTGTGTACCTATGTAACAAACCTGCATGTTCTGCACAAGTACCCCAGAACTTAAAAATATGATAATAATAATAATAATAATAATAATAAAACATGACAATCATTACAGATGCTAGTTATGTAATTTCCCCAGCTGGTGGAGCTAGCCTGAGTGAGGCACCATCTCTATCCACAAAGTATGGGATGAAGTCTACAATGCCACACCTATTGAAGAATATACTTTTGGGGAAAGGGGGAATTTATAAATGCCAGGAACCAGCAATGAAGAGATGGCATAAGTGGAAATCCCTAATCCTTTCAACATGACACAGGGAAACAAACCAAGCCAGGGCACTACTAACCCAGAGTACCTATAGGCTGTTGCAAGGACTCTGCTGTCAACATCTACTATCACGTCCACACCTTCATCATTCCTCCTTATAATTCAATCATGAGAGTCAGTCTATGGGTAGAGAGAGCACTCAGGCTGCTTAGCAACAAGCTTTCTGCATTTGGAGCAAAAGCAATTTTGAGGAATTACCTGAGTAGGCCAGTTACCTGTCTTACTAAAGATATTAGATGCTCTAGTTTCTTCTACAAAGGTGGGGCAAAGAGAGAGTGAAAGCTGAATTTCAGTGAACTCCCCCATACTGAAGTGGGAGAAATGTCCTTTTCACAGCTAGCCTGATGTTCAAAGAAGCCAGCCTGAGCCTATAAGGTCACATTCAGACAATTTTGATTGCTGCCTTACAAAAGTACAGTTCCTATGCATGTTTTTATTTAATCTTTTTAAATTTGAAATAGAAAAATTTTTTTCTGTACTTTATTGGGGAGAATGGACCAAGAACCTACAGCAAACCTCATGTTTAATAATAAAAGATCAAAAGCATTCCCCATTTAAAGCAGTAACAAGAGAAAGAGATTCTTGCAGATTTCTGGAGACCTTCCTAATATAGTAGGAGCAAAATAAAAATATATTTCTAAAAGACAAATTATCAATATTTGAAGATACAATTGACTACCTACAGAATGCAGATGTCTGAGATAGTAATAATTTAATTCCTTGACATAGCTGATAGTTACACAGTGTGTTTCCTTTGAAAAATAATCAAGTTTTCATTCATAATTTGTGTACTTTTGTATTTATTTTGTTCTTTAATTTTAAATTTTTTACTTTACAAAATAAAGAATATAATCAAGAAATAACTATGCATATGTTTTTGGATGTTAACATTTCAAATAAGCAGTTTTTTAAAAATGGCAATTCAGTAAGTAATATTGAGGCAGATAACTATTAAGGGAAAATTTAATTTACATCAATTACATTACTTAAAACTGGATAGCTAAAAGAGCTGAAGAGTAAAAAATTATAAAATTACTAGAAGAAACTGTAGAGAAATATTTTTGTAATCTTTGATTAAAGAAGTTCTGCAAGACTCAAAAATCTAACAGCCAGAAAGAAAAAGCTGATAGATTTGTCTACAAGATACCAGAAGCAAAATTCAAAGATAAGTAACAGACAAATGGGAAATATTTAGAACATACATGAGATAAAATAAGAAATCATTTCAAAAATTTTTAAAGAACTCATAAAAATCAATTTTAACAAAGGACAATATTTTTGAGGAGTAATGATACGATAGGTAATTTACAGAAAAAAGAAATACAAATGACCAACACACCTAAGCAAATATGTCCAGTCATATACATTCAATGAAAAAATTAACATAGTAATGTTGTATCATATTTTACATACCAGACTAGCCAGAAATTAAAAATGTTTACAATATCCAGTGTTAGTTAAGGTATGGATGGGGAGAGAGGCACGGTTAAGGAGCATAAAAATGCATACAGCTCTTTAGAAAGCAGTTTGTCATACCTATAAACTTTAAAATAGGCATAGTCCTTGAGATAAGATTTACATCTAATACTATTGTACAGAAATACTTGTACAAATGAACAAAATAACAAAATTACTCATTGTATCATTGTTTGTAATAATAAATTATTACAAATTTCCATCTAAATAATGGTTAAACTAATTTTATCTGTATATTGGAGTTATTAAAATGATATGGTGTTCTGGGCTGGGCAACATGGTGAAATCCTGTCTCTACAAAAAATACCAAAATTAGCTGGGCACAGTGGCACATACCTGTTAGGGTCCTAGCTACTGGAGAGGCTGAGGTGGGAGGATCACTTCAGCTGGCAGGTCAAAGTGGTAGTGAATTGTGATTGTGCCTCTGCACTCCTGTCTGAATGACAAAGTGAGATTCTGTGTCCAAAAAAAAAAAAAAAGAATAGGGAGTTATATATACAGACAATGTAAAATAAGGAGAGAAAAAGTCAAGTGAAATAAGATCTAGAGTATACAGTCCCATTCTTAAAAAAAAAATCTGTACATGTTTCTGGGGATTTAGAGCAGAATCTATCAAGAACACTTCTTCCCTATTCAGAGTTCATAGGAAACTGAGAAATAAGACCAAAGTCATATGGACAAAACATATATATATCCTACAACTTTAACTGACAAGATGTCAGATGGATTTTCCACACTAGTAGAGTATTTAGTCAAGTGGGATGGAAACTGATAAACAAGCAAAAATAAATAGGATAATTTCAGACACGAGTGAGTGCATAGATGAAAATAAAACATAGCAATGGAGACAAGTTAAGAGGTGGGATTGGGATGGGAAGAATTACTTTAGATTAGGTGGTATGGGCAGGTCTTTTTGTAGAGTTGAAAGGGCAAGACATATGCAGAGAAAAGAAAACTTTTATACACTGTTGATGGGATATAAACTAGCACAACCACTATGAAGAACAGTTCGGAGGTTTCTCAAGAAACTACAAGTTGAACTACCATATGATCTAATAATCCTACTACTGGGCATTTATCCAAAAGAAAGGAGATCAGTATATCAAACAGACATGTGCACTCCGATGTTTATTGCAGCACTATTCACAATAATCAAGATATGGAATCAACCTTGAGGTAGTTGTCCCACCACCGATGAATGAACAAAGAAAATGTGGTGTATGAACACAATGGAATATTATTTAGCCATAAAAAAGAATAAAATCCAGTCATTTGTGGCAACTTGGATGGAACTGGGAGACATTATGTTAAGTAAAATAAGCCAGGAACAGAAATTTTAATACTATATGTTCTCATTCATATGCGGCAGCTGAAAAAAAAAAAAAGTTGATCTTGAAGAAGTAAAAAGTAGAACAAAGGATACTAAACTCTGGAAAGGGTAGTGGGAGTTGTGGATAGGAAGAGATCTGTTAAAGAATACAAAATTACAGTCAAGTAGGAGGAATAATTTATAGTGTTCTATAGCACTACAGGACAATTATAGTTAACAATAATATATAATTTTAAACAGCTATGTGCAACTATTCTTTTTCCTAAAGAACAAGCTTCAGCTCTGTCAGGACTGTGCCCCTTACCCTATTCAGCCCTCCTCAGGGCTACCTCCGCAGGTAAAACTCCCTGTGGCAACTACCTCCACCAATGCCAACCGGGGCTCCTCAGCTCCTGTACCCCCACAGGAGCCAGAGGGCCAAAACAGCCAGGGCACCCCAGGCTACCTGAATGCCCCCTACAGGCAGTGAGAGAAGAATCTGGCCTAATAAAAGTGCACACCCCCTTCTCACTTTCTAACTTAAAGCAAATTAAGATAGACTTAGGAAAGTTTTCAAATAACCCCAACAAGTACATAAACATTTTTCAGGGTCTAAGTCAGTCCTTCAAATTAAACTAAAAATAATGTCATGCTTTTGCTTAATCAAACCCTTGTCAGCAATTTAAAAAAAAAAAAAAGGTTGCTCTAGCAGCAGCTCAAAGGTTTAAGAACACTTGGTGGGCCGGGCGCGGTGGCTCAAGCCTGTAATCCCAGCACTTTGGGAGGCCGAGGCGGGTGGATCACGAGGTCAAGAGATCGAGACCATCCAGGTCAACATGGTGAAACCCCGTCTCTACTAAAAATACAAAACATTAGCTGGGCATGGTGGCGCGTGCCTGTAATCCCAGCTACTCAGGAGGCTGAGGCAGGAGAATTGCCTGAACCCAGGAGGCGGAGGTTGCGGTGAGCCGAGATCGCGCCATTGCACTCCAGCCTGGGTAACATGAGTGAAACTCCGTCTCAAAAAAAAAAAAAAAAAAAGAACACTTGGTATCTTATTCAGGTATATAAATAATCTAATAATGCCAAAAAATAAAGACAAATATCCCACGGGTAC